CTTCAGCCTATTGGTCCACGCACCTTTCAATGTGGCATTTAGCCTACACGCACTCAAGACCGCCCATGCGCCATATAAGTGGGCCGGGGGCATGTGAACGTGCGTTCGGGCGGCCATTGGCTGAGACGCTAAAAGCTGCCTGCATGAGGTCTTCTTTTGCACTAGTTTGAGGAGGCACTGACTCATGCGATTTCTGTTTGTGTGGCAGTGTGGAGGGTAAATCACGTGCTAAAGTGGTTATCGCTTATCAATGCACCGGGAATGGACGTTTAACAGCTAAATTCACAGTTGTTCTGCGTGTGTGTGTGTGTGTGTGGTGCGATGCATTGTTTATGGACGTGCCACGCCCCCTCAACAGCTTCCCTATAAAAGATCAGCCACAGCAGTGAGTGGCAGCGATTTCAACGCAACAGGTGAGTCCTTGCCTTGTCATCTTGATGCACCTTAACGGTTTGTGTGGCAAATTGCATGAAGGCATTTATGGTGCATAGAAGAATGTAAGCTGTTCATATGTAAGCTGCTTCTTGTGGTATGGAATGCCAGTACAGCTAACTTTGTGTGTTGTACCAAAGTGAACATGATTCGTCTCCGGAATATTGTCGGTGAGATTCGTGCGGTGAAGGTCAAATGTTGGCGCAGGCAATGCGCTGCAACGCCACGCTGAAGGTGCAGTGCGATCAGTCGTCGCGTTTGGCGAGGCGGTTGACTGTTAGTAAAGTAGTTCGCGACGCCCTTCACTCCGAACCAAGCCGTCTTTATCTGATGCTCAGTTGGATTATCAATTGTGTCAGAGGTAATGACGTGCCAGTCGTTAGTGGGAACTGCGTCGGCAGTTCCCACCGAAGACCGGAATCTCGCAGTTTGTGTGTTTGGCATCACCGTCAAGCCGGTAATCGCTGTGTGAAGGGGTAATGGATGAAACAGACCTCAAACGATGGCAGTTTAAGGTGGAAGTGTTTTCTATGTAACCGAGGATCGCCACGGTCACGTTAGAATGCGTGCGTCCACTGCAAATATCTTATAGTCGGGACACTAAAAAAACTTTGTTGGCTACGGCATCAGTGACCCTAATCGAAAGGATTAAGCTAACATGACCGCGGTAAAATGATTCCAGCTTCATTACAGATATATCAGCACTAACCAGTTGGCTTATTCCTCTTTTAGCAGCCAATAACTTAGAAGCATGACAAACTTACGCCCAGCTGAACGCGTTCTCAACTTGAAGCCAAGGGTTCGGCAAGAATTGAATAGCGCCATTGATAAATATAAGGCAATTAACTTGAACCGGGGATCTACAGACTTCATATTTACCAATCGTCTTCTAACGAACCTCCGTGTTGTCGCCGATGACAACGTGTCACCGTCGCTGCATCAGTACGCCAGATCCCAAGTTAGTTGGTCATGAATAAGGCTTGCTTAAGCACATTGTGCAGATGTAGGAAGTAACCAATGTAATTACTGTTGTTAGGGACACCTGCGTCTGGTGAATGCCCTGGCAAAGCTCTACAACCAACGGTTCCGTCACAACGCGTGTGTTTCTGGCGCAATCCCGGAGGATCTGCGAGAGGCCACCTTCGGTGCTGATCGATGCATTAATCCGTTGACTGAGATAATCATCAGTGTTGGCGGCGTCGATGCTTTGTCGACGATATTTCTAGCACTAATCAACCCAGGCGATGAGGTTGTCGTGATTGAGCCCGCCTTCGATTGCTTCGCGCCCCAAATAGAGGCCGCAGGAGGCGTCTACGTGGGCGTTTCACTAATTCCGCCTAAGGTTAGTAAGTTCTAGATAAGTCTACTGCACGGTCGAAAAATTAACCCAGTCTATCTCGCTTTGCAGAATGCGAGTGGCCGTGTCGATGGCAACGAATTCACTTTAAACTGGGACGAGCTGGAATTGAGGATTAACAAGAAGACAAAGATGCTTCTACTAAACACACCATTCAATCCAGTGGGGAAGGTGTTTACAAAAGAGGAGATGAAGAAGATCGCCGACATCTGCATTCGCCACAACCTCATCTGCTTATCTGACGAAGTCTACGAGTTTCTCGTGTTTCCACCTCACAAA